TTTTTTTTGAAAGATTTCAATTTTTATTCCATCAATTCCTGTTGCCTTGTTCTTTGCTAATTCCTTCAATGCACCTTGGACTTCTTCCTTCAGTATCATTTGCTCTTGATCATATGCTACCTCTTGAAATGGTTGAACATCAACCATTTTCTTTTGGTACAGTGACTCCTTCTTTTTGTACAGCATTCCTTCCTTCTTCTTTTGATACTTTCTGCATCATTCAATAATTTGCCCAGAGAATCTTTCAATAACGAAAGTCGAGGCTTGAATATTTTCTTCAGTTCCCCCAGCTTGAGAAATGCTGAGTGATACAACCTCGCTTGTTGAAAGTGAAGAGGACTTAAAATATTTGCTGATAAAGATCAAAGACCACAGCCTTCAGTATGGATTGCACCTCAATGTAAAGAAAACAAAAATCCTCACCACTGGACCAATAAACAGCATTCTTATCAACAGAGGAAAGATTGAAGTTGTCAAGGACTTCAGTCTTCTTTGATCAACCATCCACACTCATGGAAGTGGCCGTCAAGAAATCAAACGACGTATTGCGTTAGGCAAATCTGCTGCATAAGACCTTTTTAAAGTGTGGCAACAATTGTGGCTCAAGTGTGGCAACAATTGTGAGGTTGACCAGGCAGTGTTTTGTTCTGTTGTACATAGGGTCACTATGAGTTGGTACCGACTCGATGGCACCTAACAACAACAACTTCCATGAGTATGGGTCAAATTCATCAAATTGTAGCAGTTTACCCTCGTTTCCTGTATCAAAAATTGTTGTGTTATTTTTTGTTTTTTTAATCTTCCTCTAGTCGAGCTCTGATTATCAAGCCATCAAGGCCAAGTCAAATGGGTACTATCTACAACTTTGGGTGTTCTTGTGCGCCTCCCCTCACTTCATTATCAGCTGGATGCTTCACTTTCAGCTCTAGCCATCTGTGGTTGTGTCACTATCCATAGGTTCAGGTGTTCCTAGGTCTCATCACACTTTGGACCAACCAGCCCTTCCTCTTTTCTCTCTCATCTCCAGGTCAATGGGAGTCAATGGACCATGGTTGAACTCAGCCCATTTCTTCATTGCTGCCTTTGCCCCTCTTCCACTCACCAGTAGACCAATGTGGTCGCCTGCAAGCTTACATGTATGCTCATGTGTTCCCTTTAAGTTTTAGTCTTAGAGGGGATTTTGTCCTGAAGGAACTTGATTGCTTGCCTTGATGGCTTCCCAGTGAACAACTTAGTTATACAACTTGGTTATTCTTGAAGTAGCCAATCATGCTGCCATTTTTGTTTGGGGTTTTTGCTGCTGATCTTTCTTTGAAGATCTTCTGTTGCTCTAGCTGTTCCAGACTGGTCTGCTTGTTCTTTTTAGTGGGAATGTCCCAACTCAAAAGGTTCTAGATGGGGCTTAGGTCCTTTACACTGCAAAGGCTCCGCTGGAGGCCTATTTCACTGGGGAAGTTTTACCTTTTAGGTATTCCTGGTAGCGTAGCGATTACGAATCGAGCTGTGAACCACAAGGTCAGCAGTTCGAAACTACCAGCTGCTCCATGGGAGAAAGAGGAGGCTTTCTGCTCCCATAAAGATTTATAGCCTCAGAAATCCTGTATAGGGTCACTATGGGTTGGAACCGACTCCATGGCACAAAACAACAACAACATCAGTTATAGGCTGAAGACAAGCTTACAAGCTTTCTGTATTCATGCATTCCTTTCTATCCAACTGAAGTGTCCATTTTACAATAAGCAAGGGAAACCAATATTTGTTAAGACAGCCAAGCATCTTAGTATTATTTCCCCTCTTCAAACTATGCCTTGATCCCTGTATCATAGAGCCCTGATGTTCCAAGTTTGAGTATGCATCACTATTTATCTCTGTCCCATTTAACCCATGCAAATCTGTCTCAGTGTTCCTCTATCTACCTTGTTTTATCACCTTTCTCCCTTCTTCTGTACGGCCCGCCTCAACACCCGAACTATGATGTGTCTGCCCCTACCTGTGCTCTACCACTGCCTCCCTCCACCTTCCCCCAAACCCCCCATCCCAGCCCCACTGGAAACCAACAAATAATTTTTTTTTTTTTCCTTTTAGTGTTCTTAAGCTTTTATAATAATGGTCTTATGCAATACTTGTCCTTTTGTGATTGACTAATTTCACTCAGTATAATGTCCTTAAGGCTTATCATTATTTTGATCATAGACTGACCTTCCAGATTCTCTGAATTTGTTCTTATAGAGTTTTGTTCTGTTCTCGACTCTTCCATTTGTTGTTTGAGTTCTGGGTGGTACTGCCATATATGTCAATCCCTGGTTGTTGTCTGTTCTTGTTGGTTCTCAGTCCACAGAACTCCCTTTAGGATGTTCTGCAGTGCAGGGTTGGCTCTGGCAAAATCTCTTAGCTTCTGTTTATCCTGGAATGTTTTGATTACACCATCATATTTGATTGACAGCTTTACTGGGTAGAGGATTCTTGGTTGGCAGTTTTTTTTTCTTTCAAGGTCTTATATATGCCTCCCCATTGTCTTCTTGCCTGCATGGTTCTACTGAGAGATCCGAGCTTAATTTAATTTACTTGCCTTTGTATATAACACTTCTCTTTTCTCTAGCTGCTTTCAGGATTCTGCTGTCCTTATCTTTGATTTTGGAAAGCTTGATTATGATTTATATGTTTTGGTGATTTTCTTTTGGGGTCTATCCTTCCTGGAGTTCATTGCAGTTCTTGAATGCTTATTTTTTCACTTTTCAGGATGTTGGGAAAATGTTCTTCCGGGAGCTCTTCAACTCTCTCTTCTGTGGACATGTGTTATTCTTCCTGTTCTGGAATGCTGATAATTCTTAAGTTATTCCTCTTCATATTGCCCAACATGAATCTTAGACCTTCTTCAGTTTTTGAAATCCTTTTTTCTGCCTGCTCTTCTATCTTAGTATTGAGAGATTTGTCTTCCAACTCCCTGGTTCTGGCTTCCATCTTTTCAATTCAATTCCTTTGCCTTTTCAATGTATTGTCCATTTCTGATGTTTTATTATTAATTGTTTGGACCTCTTTCTGTAGGTTTTGAATTGCTTCCAATGCTCTATCTATCTTACTTGATTGTTCCTATAGCACTTTCCTGATTTCTTCCTTAATTTTCTCAACTCCATTGTAAAGTATTTTGATACATTTTATAATCATTTTTCTGAATTCCTTCCCAGGCATTTCCAAAGCCTTCCCTCCTTCCAGTATGGAGTGTAGGTCTACATCCTGATCATTTGTCTCAGTCACTTTATCTTGTTTCTGGACATGTGCTGATATGGTCATCTGTTTCTGTTTTTTGGGGCATATGCAGTAGTTAGCTCTGGCATTAATACTTAGATGAGTGTGTGTTTTGGTATTTTTTTTATGCTTTCTGATTGCCTCCAGGTATATGTGATCAGGAGATGGGCTTCCCTTTTCACTCTTATACAGGGTCACTATGGGTCAGAACAGACTCAGTGATATTTCACAACAATAACAACAATCACTCAACTCAGAGTAACTGTTGCAGGTATTGGCTGCCTACCTACAACATACCTGGTGTATGGCAGTTGGTATTGGTTCTTGCCTGGATTGTGGGATTTTATAGGGTGTGATTATAGCTTGACTATATGACAGCAATTGCTGCCTCTTCTTGCATAATGCAGGGAGAGAAAAAGCTCCCTAAAGGTAAGGAGGGGACCCAAAAAACAAAACAGCAAAAGCAAAAAAGACAGATTGGATGCTGTAGTCTATAATCGCAGAAAAGAGAGAGGGAAAAAAACCCTGCAGCTAAATATGAGTATGACTTCAATATCCACTTTGACTTTAATATTCAGCTTCTTGACTTCAAGGCTGCCTGAGAAATTTAAAGATGCCACTGTTGGTCATTATGACATAACTCAGGATTAATTTTCAGCCTGCTTTGGTTTTTAGTCTGTGTTTCTCCCACTCCACAACACCTGTTCTGGCCTTTTTCCTAGTGATAAACAGTTCGCGGCTGGCTGTGGCTGTTTTGCACTGCCGTTTGGTTTTTAGTGGAAACTGTTCCTTTAAATATTGAGGAGATCTGTGTGCATGCGTAATAGAACCCTCTGGGGGTGGAGGTGGGGTGTGCACTTGCTCAGGCACCCCCTCTAGTTGTTCAGACAGTGAGAGACCAAGGAACAGATACAAAAAAGAATGTCCACACTTTTATCTCCAAGGTTCGGTCAAGCATCAGTCCATGATGGCTCTGATCCTTCCCCTTCTTGGTCTCTCCCAAGATGGCAGCTCTGGGAGCTGCTGAGGCTGGAGGATTCAAAAGCACTGGATTTCTTGCTTCTGCTACATATTCCACTGGTTATAAGCCTTCAAACTTTTAAAATATTCCTATATATATATGTTTCAGAGTTCTGGAATGGTCCCCTGAACCTGCTTCATCTGGTATTCTGTGTTATTGCTGACAGAGATCCTCACTGCATTTCTACCCTATCCGCCATCAAGTCCTACCTCCAATTTCTTTTTTCTTGAATTTGATTGCAGTATGTTCAAATAGCTTTACATACCCTGTAAGTTGGGGGATAAGAATTAAGTATAACTGTTAGGGGTGAAGAGAAGATTCTTCTCTGTTTTCCTGATTTAGACATGGAATCTGAGCATTCAATCATTTGATTGTATGGTAGTTTTATATTATACTATATATAGGCAGTTAACAACAGCAACAATACATAGATCAGTCCCTGGAGAAGGATACCATTCTTGGGAAAGTAAAAGGTTGTTAAAAAGAGGAAGACCCTCAATGAGACAGATTGACACAGTGGTTGCAACAATGGGCTCAAATATATGACTGTTTTTAAGATGGTGCAGGACCACACAGTGTTTTGTTCTATTGTACACATATAGGGTCACTATGTGTCATAACTGACTTGACAGCATCTAACAACATCAACAGTAGCATACCCTAGGGTAATGTATGCTGTATTTTAAACATAATAAATGATCATTTTCTTCTTTGTTGTTGTTTTTTTGTCAAGGTGGTGAACTTTTTGCCTGGGGGCAGAATTTACATGGCCAGCTCGGAGTTGGAAGAATAGTTGGCTCAACCTCAACACCACAGATTGTTACACATCTCACAGGAGTCCCCTTGGTTCAGATATCTGCAGGAGAAGCCCACAGCATGGCCTTATCCATGTCCGGAAACATTTACTCCTGGGGGAAAAATGATTTTGGACAACTAGGCTTGGGCCACACTGACAGTATGGAAATATATTTTCAAATTAATATTATCAATAAATATATGTGTTAGATAGAAGATAAAGTTATCATAGACCTCTCTATCAAAAGCGATTCAGATCTTCACTTTTCATATGCATTGTTCTTCCTGATTATCCCTCTTGTCGTTAGGGCAGAATTAGTCCAAAAGGCTGATGTGTGGAAGTTGTTATCATAATTGAGGCACAATTCAGGGCTATGCTGAGAAAAGGGAAAGAGAATTTGACTGGATATCAGAATACATGAGTTTAATAACTGCAGGGCCCTTTCCAAGTCATTTAACTTTTTTTTTCAACCTGTCTCCCCCACCCCACTTTTCTGTGACATGACAAGTTTGAATAAGATGATCTCTAAGGTGTCTTTGCACGTAAATGTCTGGCATTATAATTATATTAGTTCCTGTTATTAAACAGCTCAAAGTAGATGACAAAATTTCTCATGGTCCCAGAATCAACGTGTCAGAGTTTCAGGTTTAACAAACTCTGTTGTTTTATGTTCACAGCTATTGTAGTAAACATAGCCCTTGCTCATTGGTGGAACATTGCATTTCTTAGTAACAAGGTCTAATGTTAATTACACAGGGTAACACATAAGTCATTGTCAGGTGTTTTACCAATAGCATAAAATTCCATTGCAAAGCTCAGGATGTATTTAGTCATTTCAACTATTTTTTCCCTTGCATAGAAACAGATTCTCCTTCTCTTGTTGAAGAATTGGACAACCAAGAAGTTGAGTTTCTCACTTGTGGTGGCTCTCACACTGCTCTGCTCACAAAGGTGGGTGTACCCTTGTATCTCTCCGATTGTCACTCTATACTTTGTGATGGGGAAAGCACTAGATCATCTATAGGTGGAGAGTTAGTGTTTATCAAGGAAGGTCCTTTTGACTTGCAGGACTTCTACTGATATTTGGGAGCTTTCAATGGATGGTGCTTTTATTAAATTACTAAGATGTGCCTGATCCAAGTCATGGTATTTTCAATCATCTCAATGCATATGAAATTTGGACAGTGAATAAGGAAGACCTTAGAATTGATGCATTTCAGTTACAGTGTTGGAGAAGAATTTTTAAAATACCATAGACAGCCAGAATAACTAACAAATCTGTGTTGGAAGCAGTATAGCCAAAATGCTCCTTAGAAGCCAGGATGACAAGACCAGTCAGGAGGGACCAGTCCCTGGAGAAGGACATCATGCTTGGTAAAGTGGAGGTGGAAAACAGGAAGACCTCCAATGAGGTGGATTGGCACAGTGACAACAGTAATGGGCTCAAGCGTAACAACAACTGTGAGTTGGCGTGGGACCTAACAGTGTTTCATTCTGTTGTACATAAGGTCACTGTGAGTCAGGACCTACTCAATGGCACCTAGCGACAATGTTGTAGAGGCTGTTCTTCTCTATGGCTTCTCTCAAATCTGATATGATATTCTCTTTCTTTAGAATGGGCAGGTATTTACTTTTGGTGCTGGTAATTATGGACAACTTGGTCACAATTCAGTACAGAATGAGTCAAGACCCCGTTTGGTGACAGAACTCACTGGGAATAGAGTGACCCAGATTGCATGTGGAAGGTAAGCTATAAAGTGTCAACAAAAATGGACAAAATCTTTCTAATACATTTAAATGGATAATAGAATACAATTTCCATTAGTTTACTTGACTGAGAGATTAGTATCAAACATTATCAAATAGGTGAAAAGCTTAAATGACACTGTCGTTAGGTGCCATTGAGTCAGTCCCAACTCAGAGTGACCCTATTCACAACAGAATACAACATTGACCTGTCCTGTGTCATCCTCACAGTTGTTGTTGAGTTTGAGTCCTAGATAATCACACCAGAGAATCATAATAAACCTTAATATTAGTATGCATGTTTCTTTTCATTGATTTTTTTTTTTTTTTTTTTCACCAGAGAATCATAATAAACCTTAATATTAGTATGCATGTTTCTTTTCATTGATTTTTTTTTTTTTTAATGAGGAAATGCAATTAGCTTTCAGTTGCCCTTTCAGTGAAATACTTCTGTCACAATTATGATGCACTTTTATTTTTAAGGAAAACAACTATTTTTTTTTTTTTTAATTTGGAGGACAATATATGAACACAAATCACAAAGGATTATTCATTGACAAAACATCTTCTCTCATAGCTCATCTAGGCCTACATGCTTTTTAGTTACCATAATTCTTTCAGAGTAACCTGCTTTGATGACAGTGAAGTACAAGACAAAGTCAATGGTGGTTTCTATGGAACTACCTTTTCAAACAAAAACAAAAAACCCCCAAAATCTTGGTTTACTTAATTTTTTATCTCTGATATTTATGTTCATTAGTCTATTATTTACCAATAGGATGTTGGGGATTGATGAGGTTAATGCATTTCTTCTTTCTGTGGACAATTTTTCCTTCACAAACACAAGTAAATCCATATTTTATCTGAATATTGGACTCACTATAAAAAAACAGTATACACTTTCAGTCAGTAGTATGATCATGCATATTTTCTTATGATCATGGAATAAAATTACATAAATGGATTATGTTGTTGTTTTTAAGTGCTATCTAGTCAATTCCGACTCATAGCAGCCCTGTATAGGGCTTCGGTGGAGCAGCTGGTGAATTTGAACCACCAACTTTGCAGTTCAAACTGACCTTTTGGCCGAGTGCTCACCCTACAGTGCCACACCACTGTTGGTGTTGTTAAGTGCCGTCGAGTCAGTACTGACCCATAGTGACCTTATGCACAGCAGAATGAAACACTTTCTGATCCTGGGCTAACCTCACTACAGTTGCCACGCTTGAGTCCATCGATACTGCCACTTGGCCAAGCCATCTTGTTGGGAGTCTTCCTCTTTTGCTCTGACCCTCCACCCTACCAAACATGATATCCTTCTCCAGCAACTGGTCTCTCCTGACAATATGTCCAAAGTATGAGAGACAAAGTTTGGCCATCTTGGCCTCTAAGGAACACTCTGGCTGCACTTCTTCCAAAACGGATCTATTGGCTCTTTTGGCAGCCCATGGCACTTTCAATATCCTTCTCCAACACCATAATTCAAAGGCATCAATTCTTGTACAGTCTTTCTTATTCACTGTCCAGCTTTTGCATGTATATGAGGTTATTGAATTTGGGGGATGTTGTGATTCTTTGTATTCAATATGTTTCATTAAACACAATATAATCATTATCAACACTTACAGTTCTTCATAATACACATTGCTTTGAATCATATGGATTCCAAGAACTAGAGCCATGTTAAAGGTGTCTTGATGTAAACCTTGGCAGTCATTCTATAGATTCAGGAGAATGACCAAGTCCTCTATGGAATTGCCTGGAACCACCAACCTAAATCTTCCCATTTTTTTGGAGTCCCTTGGATATATAATATTGAAAAATTGTTCATTTTTCATACTGCTCCATACTACATCTGTTTTTTCTATTATCCCAAAAAGGGTTTATATTATTTGTCCAGAAACAAAGTGGTAATGCTTTGCTATGGTGTGAAAATTCTAACTCATGATGATTTACTGGGTGCTCTTACTACTTCACATGGAGACAGTTGGCAGTTTCTAAGTAGTGTTGACCATACTTCAGGTGGTAAGGCCTCATCTTTGCTGATCCAGAAACCTAGTTTTCTCAATACCCACAGTTGAGCAGTTTCTTAGGAACTGTTGTTAAACTGCCATTGAATTGATTCCGACTCATAATGACCTTGTATAGTGTTTTTGAGGCTGTAGATTCTTGTGGGAGCAGAAAGTCTCAGGTTTCTACAGAATGGCTGGTGGACTCGAACCAACAACCTTGTGGTTTGCAGTCTAGTGCTTACCCTACAGAGACACTGAGCCCCTCTCTTAAATAATAGTTTATATTAAGCAAACTACTAAGAAATTGATATAATCTAGACTATCCCTGCAGCCATATCAGTGAGGAAGTGCTTTTTCTCTTGACATAATTACTTATTTGGGGAATGTAGGGAATTGATTTAATCTTATATTGTATGCTATAGAATCATGCCAGATTCTACCACTTTCATGAGACCAATTTTCACCCATTTTGTGATTTCAAAACATTGAATGTCACCATCTCCTAGAACTCTGCTCTTCTAGATATAATGTGTTGTTAAGTGCCACCTAGCTGGTTCCGACCCATAGCAACCCTCTATAGGGTTTTCATGGAGTGGCTGGTAAACCACTGACCTTGAACCACTGATCTTGCAGTTCAAATGACTTTGCAGTCTGATTATTAATCCCCTGCACCTCACCAGGACTCCTAGATATGATAATGAGATGCTATTCCTTTAGTTGTGATGCAGTCACATTGATTGGATTTAAAACATTTTAATTACAATCCTATTTCAGACTCTGAATCTAAATCTGGTCATCTTCATTTATGTAACAACTTTATTTTGAAAATGTGCTAAAAGCCAGATGCTGTGCTAAATTCTAAGGATAGAGATGCAATAGTCTCTGATTTCAGGAAATGATTGCTTTTGGAAAACCAAGTGGAAGCTCAGAGAGGGTCACCTAGTTTAATTTTCTAGCATGAGGAAAGGAGGGATGCAAATATGGTTCCCAAGAACTGATTCTCTCAAACGAGACTTGAAAAAAAGGTGGGGAGGCAAGGGGCCATGGTCGTTCCTGACAAAGGGGTCACCATTTGTAGCATCGTGAAAAATACATCATAGATTTAGACCACCATTTTTAAGGAGTGTCAACTAAGACTCATAGTATTTCCATGTTTGTCAGAGAAGAAGTGTGCATCATAGAGTTTTTAATGGCTGTTTTTCTGAATTAAATCATCAGAGCTTTCTTCTGAGACACCTCTGAGTGGACTCAAACCTTCAGTCTTTTGGTTAGACTTTATTTTTCTTCTTGTTTGTTTCTATCAAGTCTTTTCCAATAATGGTGACCTATGTATAGCAGTGAAGAAGGAAGACAATAGAAGAATTGATGCTTTTGAGTTAGTGTTTGAGGAGAATATTGAAAGTGCCATGGACTGCCAAAAGAACCAATAGATCCATTTTGGTAGAAGTGCAGCCAGAGTGCTCCTTGGAGGACAGGATGGCCAAGATTCATCTCTCATACTTTGGACATATTGTCAGGAGGGACCAGTCGCTGGAGAAGGCTATCATGTTTGGTAAGGTGGAGGGTCAGAGAAAAAGAGGAAGACCCCCAACAAGATGGATTGGCCAAGTGGCAGCATTGATGGACTCAAGAGTGGCAACAGTAGTGAGGTTGGCCCAGGATCAGGCAGTGTTTCGTTCTGCTGTGCATAGAGTAACTATGAGTTGGTACCGACTCGATGGCCCCTAACAACAACAACATCATGTATAGCAGAGTGAAAGATACAGGGATTAAAAAATCAGCTCAGCCGCAGATTAACAATTTATTAGTTTCCAGATGTCTAATTTCACCCACAGGAACCCAGGTGATGCAGAGGGCAAACCTTGGACTACTAACCACAGGTCGGTGGTTCAAACCCACCAGACACTCTGCAGGAGATAAGGCTGTTTGCTTCTGTAAAGATTTTACAGTCTCAGAAATCCTATGATGGAGCAATTCTACTTTGTCCTGTAGAGTCCCTGTGAACTAGATCCATTTGGTAGCAGTGAGTTAATTTCACCCATTGAGGTTGGTTAACTCTTTCACTCTCACTGAGTAACCTAATTCTGACAGTTTACCATATTGCTACATATTCTCATCAGTTTGGATAATTGAGACTTGACCATATGCATTTTTATTTAACAGGGACCACACACTCGCCTATGTTCCTGATTTGGGAAAGGTCTTTTCTTTTGGTTCTGGAAAAGAAGGACAACTGGGAAACGGGAGAGCACATAACCAGCTGATACCACTTCCCATGAAATTGCCATCGAAAGAAGAACTCAAATTTGGTAACTTCTCTAGAAGCACAGTAGTTGGCATACATAACAATTTAGAGAAACGAATTTTTCTAAATGTGTAATGTGACAAGAGCAGCAGTGATTAATATGAAAGGAGTTTCTCTAACCACTACTTGCATTTTTTACTTATAAACAATTTAAAAGAGTTTGCCAGGTAATTTATCAACTAAAAAAGACAATATTTTCCTCTTATCCCTTCAAATCAAGACTAAGGCATACTCATTTGATACCAAATAACAGGTATGAATTCAGAGTCACTTGCAGCTCTGGTTCCATTTTTGCAAGTGACATTATTATTAGGTGCCATCAAGTTGGTTCCAACTCATAGTGACCCTATGTACAACAGAAGAAAACATTGCCTGCTCCTGTGCCATCCTTACTGTTGATGTTCTGGTTGAGCCCATTGAGCAGCTACTGTATCTATCTATGTTGTTGAGGGCATTCCTCTTTATCAGTGATGCTCTACTTTATCAAGTATGATGTCCTTCTCGGGGGACTGGTCTCTCCAAAGTAAGTGAGACATGAAAGAGCATTGTAGATGCACTTTTCAAGACAGATTTGTTCTTTCCTGTGGCAATTCATGGTATATTTAATATCTTGTCCAACACCATAATTCAAAGCCATTAATTCTTCTTTGGTATTCCTTACTCATTTGTTTAGCTTTCACATGCATATGTTGTTGTTGTTAAATGCTGTCAAGTCTGTTCCAAATCTGTTGTTGTTGTTGTTAAGTGCCATCGAGTCGGGTCCGACCCATAGCGACCCTGTACAGGGTTTCCGAGGGTGTAAATCTTTACGGGAGTAGAAAGCCTCATCTTTCTCCCGCGGAGCGGCTGGTAGTTTCGAACCGCTGACCTTAAGGTTCGCAGCCCGATTCGTAACCACTACGCTACCAGAGCTACCTTATTTTTCAAGGAGTTTGTAACTCCCACCTTGTGGTTGGCATATCCCACAGTGCCACACAACAGGTCTCCTCACATGCATATGAAGTGACTGAAAGTACCATGGCTTGAGTCAGGCACAAATAAGTCTTCAAAGTGATATCTTTGCTTTTATAACATTTTGAAGAGGATTTTTGCAGCAGATTTATCTAATTCAGGTTCTTGATTTCTTGACTGTTGCTACTGTGGATGTTGATTGCAGATCCAAGTAAAGTGAATCCTTGACAACTTCAATCTCTTTCCCATTTATCATAATGTTGCTTATTGATCCAGTTGTGAGGAGTTTTGTCTTCTTTATGTTGTAGTATGATTCACACTGAAGTCTGTAGTCTTTGATCTTCGTCAGTAAGTGCTTCATGTCCTCTTTGCTTTCAACAAGCAAGATTGTATATTTTAGGTTGCTAACGAGTGTTCTTTTGATCCTGAGGCTATATTTTTCATAAAGTCCAGCTTCTCAGATTATTTGGTCAGCATACAGATTGAATAAATATAGTGATAGGATACAGCCCTGACAAACACTTTTCCTGAGTTTAAACTATGCAGTGTCTTATTGTTCTGTTAGAACAACTACCCCCTTAGACTATGGGCAGGTTCTGTATGAGCACAATTAGTGTTCTTTGCAAAGTTATCCATAATTTGTTATGATACACATAGTCAGATGCCTTTGCATAGTCTATAAAACACAGATTTCATCTTTATGGTATTCATTGTCTTCACTCAAGATTCGTCTGACATCAGAAATGGTATCTCATGCTTCATGCCATCTTCTGACTGTGGCTTGATTTTCTGATTGTACTGTGAATGTACTGCTGAATTATCTTCAGCAAAATTTTACTTACCTGTGATACTAATAACACTGTTAGAAATTTTCTGCATTTTCAATCTGTTGGATCACCTCTCTTTGAAATGTGCACAAAAGTGAATCTTTTCCAGTCAGATGCATAAGTAATTATCTTGAAGATTTTTTGGCATGGACAAGTGCATCTGTTTGCTGGAACATCTCATTTGGTATTCTCATCAATTTTTGGAGTCTTCAGTGCAACTCGGAACTCTCCCTTTAGTACTATAGGTTTTTAGTTGTTTGTTTTAAAGTTTTTATTGTGAACTGAGTGACAGTCTACATGGCAGAACATCAGTTTTATACCAATCACATATTGTTTCATTGTAGTGATTACAATCCCCTTTTTTGATGTGCACAGAAACATGCAGGAATATATAATTGTTTAAACAACCCAAGGACACACTTGCAGACCAGCCCCCTGCCCATCAGCACACAGCATTTCTCTTTATATGAGTCTAGAGTCCTCAGATGCTCTATCTTTTCATGTCGTCACCTCTGCCTCTGGTGTCTCTGTTTCTCTTGTTAGGATCAATCCTACATTCTGCTCTTGCTCATCCTTCTTGCTGGTCCTAGTGTCCTCTGTTCCTGGGATGTAAGATTAGCTGCTCCCCGACCCCTTTTGTTATACATCTACCTTTAGGATTGTGACAATCGCCATTAATCATGATAACAATCATTGTTATTGTTAGGTGCCATCAAGTCAGTACTGACTCATAATGACCCTATGCACAACAGAATGAAACACTGCCTAGTCCTGGACCAACCTCACAATTGTTGCTATACTTGAGCCCATTGATGCTGCCACTTTGCCAATCCATCTCACTGGGTGTGTTCCTCTTTTTCAATGACCACCCACCTTCTCCAGTGACTGGACCCTCCTGACAATATGTCTGAAGTATGAGAGATGAAGTTTGACCATCTTGGCCTCCAAGGAGCACTCTGGCTGTACTTCTTCCAACACAGATCTGTTTATTCTTTTGGCAGCCCATGGCACTTTCAATATTCTCCTCCAACACCATAACTCGAAAACATCAATTCTTCTACAATCTTCTTTATTCACTGTCCAGCTTTTGCATGTATATGAGGTTATTGAAAATACCATGACACACCTTAGTCCTCAAGCTAACATCTTTGCTCCTCAACACTTTAAAAAGGTCTTGTGCAACAGATTTGCCTAATGCAATACATCGTTTGATTTTTTTGACTGCTGCTTCCATGAGTGTTGATGGTTGATATAAGAAAAATGAAGTCTCTGACAACTTCAATAGTTTCTCCATTGATAAGAATGTTGTTTATTGGTCCAGTGATGAGGATTTTTCTTTATTCGACATTGAGATACAATCAGTATAGAAAGAAGGCTGTGGTCTTCACTTTCAGCAAGCAAGGACAGTGAATAAGGAAGAATGTAGAAAAATTGATGCTTTTGAGTTATGGTGTTGTAGGAGAATATTGAAAGTGCCATGGGCTGCCAAAAGACCCAGTAGCTCTATTTTGGAAGAAGTGCAACCAGAGTGTTTCTCTGAGGCCAGGATGGCCAAACTTAATCTCTCATACTTAAGACATATTATTAGGAGAGACCAGTCACTGGAGAAGGTTATCATGTTTGGTAAGGTGGAGGGTCAGAGAAAAAGAGGAAGACCCCCAACGAGATGGATTGGCGAAGTGGCATCATCGATGGACTCAAGCATGGCAACAGTAGTGAGGTTGGCCCAGGATCAGGCAGTGTTTCGTTCTCCTGTGCATAAGGTTGCCATGGATCTGTACCAACTTGATGGCACCTAACAACAACAACAACGTCAAGTTTTAATCATCAAGCCATCCAAGCTAGGCCAAATGGGAACCATCTACAGGTTTGGGCATTCTTGTGTGCCTCCCCCCACTAAATATCAGCTGGATAGTTTATTTTCAACTCTAGACCCCAGTGGCTAGGTTAGTGTCCATGGGCTCAGTAATTCCAAATTCTCTCCAGACTTCAGACCAACCAGCCCTTCCTCCTCTCTCTATCATGTCTAGGGCGACAGGAGTCTCATACATGGTCAAGCTGAACTCATGTCTTCGTTACTGCCTTTCCCCCACTTTCTCTCACAAATAGACCAATGTGGTTACCAGCAAGCTTACAAACCTTCTTGTGTGTACCCTTTGAGTATCAGTTTTAGAAGAGAGTTTGTCCTGAAGTTACTTGAAAACTTGCCTTGATGACTCCCAGGTGAAAAGTTTGCTTGTTTTTGTAATAGCCAAACAGTCTGCTTTTTTTATTCTCCTCTTTACCTCATTCTGGGTTGGTCTGCATGTGCTTTCAAGTGGGAATGTCCCACCTAGAAGGTTCTGTATGGAGTTCAGGATTCCATCCAAGTTCTCATACTCTACAAAACTCCACAAGAAACCTATTTCACTGGGAAAGGTCTAGAACACCTTTTATATATTCCAATCCATTATAAATTGAAGAGAGACTTACAAGCTTTTGTAATCATATTTCCTGATATTCCTTTCTATCCCACTCAAGTGTCTATTTTACATAAATAGACAGGGGAAAACAATATCCATAATACAATCTATCACCTTAACATTATTACTCATTCAGATTATGCTTCAATCCCGATATCACAGAGCCCTGTTGTTCCAAGGATGAGCATACTTACCCCTCTTGTGTATTGCCCTCCCCTTCCTCACCCAGTCATGATATTATTATTATCCCCAACCTGTGCCTTACTGTCCCCTCCTCGCCACCCGTAATACCATAGGATTTTTAATCATGTGCTACATCCTGAAATGGTTAAATGTTGACCAGTTGTTTTTTGTTCATTGACTCTGTATGTCTTTTTCGATCCTGCATCATTCAGTTTTTTGCTCATAGAATCCTTCAATATTTCAATTTGAGACAAGTTTTTCTTCATTTCTTTCAGCTTAAGCAATGACAAGTGTGATTTTCTAACTCCAGGTCTTTGCACATTTCATTATAATACTTTACTTTTTTTTTCTCCAACCACCCTTTTAATTATTTTTTTTTAAATTCTTTTACTTCATTATTTTTCCCACTTTCCATAGCTACTCTACTTTCAAGAACAGGTTTCAAAGTGTCTTTTAACATCCATTTTGGTGTTTTCTTTCTGTTCTGTCTTTTTAATGACCTTTTGCTTTTTTCTTGTCCTTGATGTCATTCCACAGCTGTGTGTTCTTTGATCATTAATGTTCAATGAGTCAAATCTGTTCTTGAATTGGACTCTAAACTCAGGTGGAATATACTCAAGGTCATACTTTGGTGTTCATGGACTTGTTTTCATTATAATTCAGCTTTAATATGAACTTACATAATTTGGATGTAGTGTGATAGCTTGTGTGTTGCTGTGATTATGAAAGGTATACCACCTGTATTTTAAATATCAGCAGGGTCACCCATGATGAATCAGTTTCAGCAATATTCTGTTCTGCACTTGGCCACATTCTGAGAGATAATATTGAGATTCTCCATTATCTATTTCTGAAGATGGATTTTATTTGATTTCTATGTATCTCATCTGCTGAGGTCCATATGTATAGTCGTCATTTATATTGTTGAAAGAAGGTATTTTAATGAATAGGTCATTGGTCTTGCAAAAAGTCTATCATGTTATCTCCAGCATCATTTCTATTACCAAGGTCATATTTTCCACCATTTGTTTCCACCATTTGTTTTCCAGTCACCAGTCTTTGTTTCCACCATTTGTTTTCCAGTCACCAGTCATTATCAATGCATCTTGACTTCATGAATGCATCTTGACTGCATGTTTGATCAATTTCAGACTGTGAAGTTGGTAATTAGTATTCTTCATTTTTTTTCATCTTTGGCACTAATGATTGGTATGTACATTTGAATCACAGCTGTCTTAACAGGTCTTCCTTCTGTTGTTAAGTGTCGTTGATTCGGTTCCAACTCATAGCAACCCTGTGTAGGATTTCCAAGGCTTTTAAATCTTTGTGAGAGCAGAAAGCCTCATCTTTCTCCAATGAAGCAGCTGGCAGGCTCAAACTTCGGACCTTGTTCACAGTCCAGTGCTTATCGTATGGAGCCACTGCACTGGCCTTTCTTCCAGTGTATGGATATTATCCTATCACTGGATAGTGTTGTACTTAAGAATAGATCTTGAGACTTTCTTTTTCACCTTGAATGTGGCATCATTTCTCTTCAAAGTGCCATTTCCAAAATAGTAGACCAAAGGATTGTTCAATTCAAAATAGTCAATGCTTGTCCATTTCAGGAATGTGTATGGTATTTACCTTCAAGTGTTCCATTTCTTATCTGACAGCTTCCCATTTTCCTAGAACCATACTTCATACATTCCATGTTCTAATTACTAATGGATATGTGCAGCTCTTTCATGTCATTTTGAGTTATGCTACCTCAGCAAATGAAGGTTCCGTACAGCTTTACTCCATCATTAAGGTCAATGCTACTTTGAGGAAGCTGCTCTTCCCCAGTTGTATTTTGAGAGGCTTCCAGCTTGAGAGGCTCTTCTTCTGGCATTGTTAAGCAAGAGATTTACTTCCACAGTACTCATTTACTTACCTGGTTATAGTGGCCTGTAGTTATGTAAAATGCTATGTAGGTGATGAGAAGCTCACATGTGCCAGGCACTGTAATTGTACTTTCAGAACTTATATGCATTATCTCAACCAATTGTCCTAACAATTCGGGCAGATAAGTTCCATTATTGTTATTTTACTAAAGGATTCAGAGGCTTGGAAAACAAAGGTCTTCCAGCTCTCAAGTGGTTTAGCTTTATTTGAATTGTGCATCATGTAACCTCAGAGCATGAGCTCTATAATATTCCTACAGAAGTCCTCTGAGAGCTTGTTTACTGGTGACCTAAAATAAATGAATTCTCTCAGTTATTCTGTAGAAATGAACAGCAATTTCCCTAAGCAGTTCACATGGTATCCTTTTTCTTTTATTTCATTTCATTTTGGTCCCTTTTTGACTCGATGGCACCTAACAACAACAACAAATAGCACAATGGATTAGAACATTGGGCTGCTAACTGCAAGGTTGGTGCTTCAAACCCACCAGACACTCCACAGAAGAAAGATGAGGCTGTCTGCTCCAGTAAAGATTTATAGCCTTGGAGACTCTATTGTTGTTGTTTAGTCCTGTAAAGTAGGTTCCAACTCATAGTGAGCAGAAAGCCTCATCTTTCTCCTGTGGAGTGACTTGTGGGTTTGCAACACAGACCATGCAGTTCGCAATCCAGCACTGATCGTATGGCATCACCGTGCTCCCTGGGAACTCTATGGGACGTGTTCTCTGCCCTATAGAGTTGTTATGAGTCACAATTGACTCCCTGATAATGAATTGAGGTTTGTAACCAGTTACATGACTTGGAAGTACTTATTTATAATCATCACATAAAATAATACTCAAATCTTAGATTATAAAACATGGTTTTCAATAACTGGAGCTGAATTAAACTAGAGAGCAGTCAAGTAATCAAATACTTGTTTGCCTTATTTTGTACATTAGTACTTAAATATGTTATGTTTATTGTACTGATACTACATGTCTATCTTGTGAACTACTGATGCTTGCCAAGTCGTCACTCTATTTATGCTACTTAATTGCTTGGAAATGTGCTGGATGTTTGTGTGTTAAAAAGATAAAAACCTCTAATTTCAAGAGGAATTGGAAGTTATTTCAATTGAGCGTGCATATTTGTGCCAGATGACTTTGTAAACTTACTCGTTATTTATCCCTTGCAGAAAACTGTACCTCAGACAAGGAGTTAATAATGATTGCTGGAGGAAATCAAACCATTTTGCTCTTGTATGAAAAAGAGGTAAAAATATATCTTAGAATGTTCTAAGAGTCAGCTGTGTTGCTACTGATGAAAAGGTTGGCAGTTAGAAACCACCCATTGTCACTTCAGGAGATAGATTTGGTGAATTACACCTTTGGAATAGTTCAGTTCTATACACATGGGGGGCGGTCACTGTAAATCAGAAATGATTTGATGGCAACTAACAATAACACCACCACTCATCTGTCAGTTTGTTGTACTGCCTTGCCTTGTGTGTTGCTGTGATGCTGAAAGCTATGCCACCCATATTTTGAATACCAGCAATATCACCCATGGTGGACAGGTTTCAGTAGTGCTCCCAGACTAAGGCAAATTAAGAAGAAGGAGAGGTAGACCACTTCTGAATGGTTAGCCACTGAAAACCTTATGAATAGCAGTGGAATGGAATGTTGTCTGATCCAGTGCCAGAGATGAGCTGCTCAGATTGGAAGGCACTTAAAATACAACTGAGGAAGAGCAGTCTTTAGAAAGTAGAGTTGACCTTAATGACGTTAATGGAGCAAAGCTTTTGGGACCTTCATTTGGTGAAGGGGTACAATTCAAAATGAGAAGAAATAGTGACAGACATCCATTAATAATTGAAATGTGGTTTGTATGAAGTATGAATCTAAGAAAATTGGAAGTCATCATAAATGAAATAAAATGCATAAAGATCAGTATCCTAGACATTGATGAGCTAAAATGGACAGGTATTGACCATTTTGAATTGGACAGTCTTATGATTAATATGCTAGGAATGA